TGAGAATGATGAGGGCAATGAATGTACAAATGTGTTTTACACAATTGATGCATGTATCGATTGTGATAAGAGTTGTATGAGCCCCTAATAAAACGATTAAAAAAAGACAACAAGAGTCTTAGAGCAGATGGCTTCACTGACGAGTTCTGCTAAACATTCAGAGAGGAACTGACACCATTCTATGTAAACACTTCCAAAAGAGAGAAGAAAGTCATTCATTCATTCAGTTTACGAAACAGACTTAACCCTGGTACCCAAACCAGACAGAGGCACCCCCAAAAAAGAGAAAAGAAAGCTACAGGCCAAGATATCTTTTAAAGATAGATGCAAAAATCCCCAGAAAATTTTAGTGAACAGGACTCCACATCATTTTTATTTTATTTTATTTTCATTTTTTGTTTTGCTTCAACATCATTTTTGAAGAATCATATCGCCTAACCAAGGGAGTTTGCTCTAGGAATGCAGGGATGGTTCAATATTAAAAAAATCAATCATTTATCAATATATCAATCATATAACATAGAATACCAATAGAACAAAAAGACAGAACTATGATCCTCAATGGATGTAATAAAAGTATTTGATAAAATTCAATACCTTATCTTGATAAAAACTCTACAGAAGGCTGGAATAGAAGGAAATTCCTCAATATGATTTAAGGCATAAATGAAAATCCAACAATCAACATTATAGTTAATGGAGAAAGACTTCACCCTTGAAGTCCAGAACAAGACAAGTGTGCCTGCTTTTATCACTTCTATTCAATATTGTGTTAGAAGCCCTAAGCAGAGCAAGGAAGTAAGAATTGGAAAAGAAGTAACATGGTGACTATTCATGGATGATATGACCCTATACTTTGAAAACTCCAAAGCACATGTACGTACACACACGACCGCACACACACCAGAGTTTAGCAAAATTTACAAGGTCAACAAACAGAAATCATTTGGGTTTCCATATACCAGCAATGAGAAATCTGAAAGGGAAATCAGGGAAACAATTACAATACCATGGAAGAGAATAAATATATATAGGAATAAGTCTAAGCAAGGATATGAAGGACTTATACAATAAAAAC